TGCTAAATAAACTTTCTCTTACACTTTGTCTTAGCTCTGAACCCTTTCTTTGCCAGAACCCAAGCACCAAGGTTGCTGAGCCCAGGTCTGGTCTGACTCCACTGGTCCAGCCCCTGGTGTCCAAGCACTTTACACACATTAACTCTTAATGCTCACAACTTGGAGTTGCTCTTCGGTTACTCCCACAGAGCTGTCTCAGGGTTATGATTAGCAGGAGGCAGATTGGGGTCTGCACCCGGAAGATGGCTCTGGGGGCCATGCTTCTAACCACTAGGTGCATGGCCTTCACTGGACTAGCATCTCCTCCAGAAACGTACTGCATTGTTCCGTGTTCACAGCTCCTTACCTCGGTGAGGGGCATTCAAATCTGTTTAGAGAAAAAAAAATTCAATTTTTAAAAATCTTAATTGCTTAATTTATGGTCATCACAATGCTAGTCATGGGGATACAAAGAAAAAAAGACATGCCCGGCTTGTGTGGCTCAGTGATTGAGCATCAGCCCTGCACCAAGAAGTCGCCGGTTCGATTCCCAGTCAGGGCACATGCCCAGGTTGTGGGCTGGATCCCCACTGGGGGGTACGCAGGAGGCGGCCAGTTGATGTTCTTTCTCATCGATGTTTCTCTCTCTCTCCCTCTCCCTTCCTCTCTCTCTCTCTAAAATCAATAAAGAAAAAGAAAAAGAGCCCTAACTACAGGGAGCTCCCCACAGCGTAGCAGGAGAAGCAACAGGGTCCGCAGATGTCCTATGGGACACATGACAGGAGCATCACAAGGACACAGTGAGGAGAGGCACTGAGCCTAAAACCTGGGTGCTCAGGGCAGGATTCCTGATTCAGACCTGGGACTAAGCTCATTCTCCAAGTGGGACCAAACGTCCTTAGTCTCAGCTGGGCCCACAGGTCTTGAGTCAACTAAAGATCTCAGTATGAAATTGTAAATGCGACAGCCACGATACCCGCCCCCCTTCTTTCCCTGGACAATGACTGGTGGTTGGCTTTAGATTCTCTTGTGCCTAAGTAGATGCTGAAGACGCCAACCAAGCTTTGGTTAAACTTCATTGGAATTGTGAGTTTTTGACTCATGTCGACATGAAATGTAAATCAGTGCTCACTTTCAGGTTTGAATCTATTCAGCAACTGTCCAAGTCAACAGAAAATGGAAGCTACTGGAGGCTGAGCAGTTAGACCATAATTCTGTTTAGTTTGTTCATTAAAAACCATGATCAGCCCTGGCCGGTTTTGCTCAGCGGTTAGAGCGTCGGCCTGCGGTCCAGAGAGACCCGCGTTCGGTTCCTGCTAAGGGCACGTACCTCGGCTGCAGTTTGTCCCCGGCCCTGGTTGGGTTGTGGGGGAGGCAGCCACTCGATGTGTCCCTTTCGCGTCAATGTTTCTCTCTCTTTCTCTCCCTCCCACCCTATCTGAACAAAAAATGGGAAGATGTCCTCGGGTGAGGATAAAAAAAAAACCATGATCAAGCCCTGGCCAGGTAGCTCAGTGGGTTAGAATGTTGTCCCATACATTAAAAGGTTGTGCGTTTAATTCCCAGTTGGGGCACGTCCGGGATATGGGAGGCAGCCGATCAGTCTCTCTCTCTCTCTCTCTTTCAAAAAATCAATTTAAAAACCATGTCCTTGGGTGAGAATTTTAAAAAGCCAACAACCATGGTCAAATAGAGAGTCCACAAATAGACCCCCATAAATATACTCAACTGATCTTTGACCAAGGAACTAAGGCAATACGATGGAGAAATGGTAGTCTTCAATAAAGATAGTATTCAATAAATGGTGCTGGAACAGCTGGACATCCACCTGCAAAAAAAAAAAAAAAAATTAATCTAGACATAGACCTTACACCCTTCACAAAAATGGATTCACATAAATCATAGACCTACATGTAGAAAATAAAACTCCTAGAAGATAAAATGGGAGAAAACCTCGATACCCTGGCTATAATTATGGCTTTTTAAATACAACACCAAAGATAATCCATGCAATAAATAACTGGTAAGCTGGGCTCCATTAAAATTAAAAACTCCTGCTCTGCAAAAGAAAGTATCAAGAGAATTAGAAGACAAGCCACAGATTTGACAGAAGACATTTCCAAAAGATACATATGATAAAGGACCATTATCTCAAATATGCAAAGAATCCTTAAACTCAACAGTAAGAAAACAACAACTGGGTTGAAAAATGGGCCAAAGGCCTCAACAGACAGCTCACCAAAAAAAGTATACAGATGGAAAATAAGCTGATAAGAAGTTCCACGTCATACATATTCAGAGAATTGCGAACAGAAACAGCCATGAGACGCCAGCACACACCTATTGGAATGACCACAGTCTGGAACGTGGGCAACCACACTGCTGTAGGACGAGGAGCTGAAGGGTCTCAGCGGCTGCTGGTGGGAGAGCGCAGTGCAGCCGCCCGGAAAGACAGCGTGGCAGCTTCTTACAAACCAAATGTTCTCGAAGTACACTCTTGCCATGTAATCCAGCCGTCACGCTCCTTGGTCTCGACCCAAAGGAACTGAAATATTATGTTCACACAAAAACCTGCACGCAGATGTTTACAGGAGCTTTATTTATAACAGCCAAAACTTGGAAGCAACCAAGATGTCCTTCAGTTGGTGGATAAACTGTCGTACATCCAGACAATTGAATATTACTCAGAGCTCAAACGAAATGAGCTGTTGAGTCACGAAATACACGGAGGAAACTTGACTGCCTACGACTAAGGCAACGTCACCCTGGAAAGGCCACAGACTCCAGGACCTCCGAAAAGGCACCCAGTAAAAAGAACAATGGTAGGGAAGGGTGTGGGGGGTGGAGAGAGAAATAAGCAGAACACAGAGGCTGTTTAGAGCAGTGAGAATATGTAATATGATACGAGGATGACGAACATATTATACTTTTGTCCGAGCCGATAGAACGCACACCAGCGAGAGTGAACTCTAAGGCTGACGACGGACTTTCAGTGATTATGTGTCAATGTAGGTTCATCCTTGGTAACAAATGATAATGATAATAATCTTCTGATGAGTGATACTGACCATGGGAAGGTCATGCAAGTGTGGGGACGGGTGGTCTACGCGAAACCTCTCTTCCATCTTCCCAGTTGGGTTGTAAACATAAAACTGCTGTAGAAAGAAATTATTTTTTTAAAGTTCAAATGGCTGTAAACCGGAGTCTTGGACAGTGCAGGCGAACTCACCTGAGCGCGGGCCAGGATGGCTGCAGGAAGGGTGAACTCTGCCCCGCGCGTGTCAAGGGGAGAGGGCGCAGGTGGGCTCGGGAGGCGAGTGGTCTCTGTACCCCCACATGAGCGCTGAAGGCTCCTCTCGCTGTCTTGTACTATGTCAGGCCCCTTCCAACTGGCACTTTTCATGAGAAGCTAACTGCACCAATAGGCCACTTCATGACATGATCCGTTAATCTTGATATAAGCCCCATGCAAACGTCAAGAACAGTGAACTCTAAATCGTGTATGTATAGCTTTTCCACTTGGATATTATTATTTGCAACAAATGTCTAATCCCAATTTCAACTCCCCCCTCCAGCCATTATACTGCTGAAAGGTTCCCTTTCGCACAGGTCAATGTTTACCTCTGGAAAGATACCTGTTTAAACTTTTATTAACCCAAGTGAAGCCACGAGGACAGCTCCCAGCCCCTCATCAAAGCCACAGCACATTCCAAAGCCAAATGTAGATGATCAGTAAATTATCATTCGCCTTCAATATCTACCGCTTTCCACTGTGAATTACGAGCAACTGGCCTTCAGGGTATCTGAGACGTGAGCCGTTGGTCTCGGCTAAGTCTTCCAATGACTGGACCTTAAATGTTTACCATCCTCCCACTTACAAAGTGAGGACACCGCTCTCGAGCCTTCTCTGCCTTCAAGGCCGTTCTGTCGAAAAGGGTAAGAACTCCGAACTCATGAACATGCATCATCTTTAGCATTTGTTTGGGGAGTAATAGGCTTAATGTATTAATTTGAAACATCTTCCCATCCCAGTCATCACCCCACAACAAAAGACGCAGGACAATCATCTAACCCTCTTTTTTATCGGTAGTGGAATAGTTTATATATCATCGCTATACAAATTTACTTAGGAGCAGTGAGATTTCTTTGAATCTCAACATCCCCTTGGATATGCAGGGTTTTTTTTTTTTTTTTTTTAAGTTACTATGTCTAGAATGGCTTCACGTTACATCTCTGCACGCTGGCCCGCACAGGAGACTGGAAATAGTGTTTTCATGACACAAACGAGACTTCCAGCTGTGTGGGAACTGTCGCAGCAGCCAGCACAGTAGTTCACACGTTGGTATTTTTTCTTTTCTTTTTCTTTCTTTTTTTTTTGTAAAAGAAGATAAAATATTACAGAGACATGTTCAAAAATTCACACCGAAGTTAAACATTTTGCTGGGAAATCCCACATAAAGGAGAGAAGAACGTGACGCAAGAACAGGGCAGGGCTATAGGTACAGGTGTTTTGACAGCAGAACCGCTGCGTCTGCCTGTGGCCTTCCTTCTGCGGCCAGGAGAAGGGAGACAGGACGAGATGAGGGGGAGGAGGGACGAGCGCCCTGAATTGGTGGCAGACGTACAGACAGAAGAGCCTCTGTAGGCGCGGAGGGACTCGGCCTCCTGCACAGGGGAGCGGACCTGGAGGACAAAATCATGAGTGGATTTGGTTCTAGAAAAGGGGGCTGAAGAGAGAGTCGGGTGAAAGAAGATTTGGCTACACACTTTGCTGGACGGAGGGCACAGCAAGGCCTGGCGGAGGCACCAGATTCGAATCTCTTCACAGGTTTTAGAAGCAGTTCAGAGTGAAGCCAATGTCCCTGTTGGTGCTTTGCCAGGCGAATGGCTGTCCCCAGAACCAGGTGAGAGTCACGGCAAGAAGTCCTTCCTCCGAAACACCCCTGCCATGGGCACGCTGTCTGAAATATTTACAACCGGAGGCCGGAAGGACATAGGCAAGAAGGTCAACTTCTAGGGTTGGTATATGTTTTCTGGAAACTAGGAGTCAACACACGGTTCGATCACAGTTTGAATTTCCGAGGCTCTTGCCCCTGAAGGAGGCAAGAGTCTGGGTTAGCGACAGTGGGGTTCTCTTCTGAAAGCAATCTGTCCACAGAGAAGGCACGACTCCCTTCCTTCCGGGGTACGGGGCCAGGTGGCACAGGAGAAATTGTTTGGTCTCAGTGGAGGTAGGTGGGATGATTCCATCGGTACCAAGATCTGAAAGGGAGAAAGAAACAAGTCACGTTCAGAACTGCTAATGGGATAAAGGTACTGATAGGTGGGTTTAGGGTGTCTTTTTCGGGGATGAGAATATTCCGGAGTGAGATAATAGTGATAGTTGCGTGGCCTTGTGAATATACTAAAACCCACTGCATCATATACTTTACAATTATAAATGTTATGGTGTATGAATATCTCAAAACAGTTTTTTAAATGTACAGAATGTGGTTTTCTCTCTTTTTTTGGTGGGGTAGTTGAGGAACTCCAACTTTTGGGGCTGTGAACCCAGGGGCCAAAGAGAGCCGCTGCCTTGGGGAACCACCTGAGTCTGGACAGATGCATCCATCCCTCCGTGGCTTCAGGCCGCACACGGTACCTTCATGTCAGGAAGGTGAATCAGGAAGGCGCTCTCGAGTCGTCCGCCGGGAAACGCTTTTCAGAGTAGATTGTTTGACTCTCCCAGGGTGCCCTCCCTTCCTCTCTCACTGTGCCAGCCGCGCCCCAGCACAGTTCACGTCGGAACACCCCCCGTGGGCTGCTGGCGGGCACTGGAGAACCCCTACGCCCAGCGAAGGGCTTGGCCCTCTCTGACTGCTTGGAAATTTCCACCTTCCCAGTGAGGAAGAAACGCTGGCTCTGTTGACAGGAGCTCCTTGCCAGGAACGCTCACTGGCCAAACTCCCCCTTCAAACCCCCCCAGGGATCACGTCCCCTTGCTCTCCGCTGCCTCCTCCCTGCCTCCTGTCCCCTTCCCAGCCCCAGACAGAGTCCTTTCTCAGAGCTCTGACCCAGATTTTCCATGGCCCCTGCACCCTGCTGGGACGCCGCTGCTCCCCCCACCTTACCCTGAAGAGTTAAAACTGGAGGAGGCGTTCACGGCTGCTTTGGAGTTATTCTGAGAGGCTGTGGGGCTGCTGGCGCGGAGTCCTGAGCTGGGAGAGGAAGGCCTGCTGCTGTTCCCAGGGGAACAGGACGATGTCACTGAGGACAGGGGGAGGCAGAGGTAAGGGGCATGGACCTTCCAAACATGTGTCCCTCAAGGGACGCACCCTCGCCCTCCCCCTGCTCCCTGGCACTAGCACCCAGACCCAGACGGTTCTCATCATCCACGCTCTCCTCCAAGCAGGCCCAGAAGAGTTGCACGGCTGGTTCGGCAAGTCCTAGACTTGTCAGACGCGAGAAGGGCGGCTGCCAAAATCGTCCCACTGTGGGACACACCCTGCTGGGCATGCACAGCCCCAGACCAGGAGGCAGGCCGGGAACAAGAGCAGGAGGCCTCGGAGGGAAGAGACGCACACAGGGCAGGAAGAGGGCCCGAGAGCACCGGGAAGTCTGCCGGCCTCTCGTGCTCGTCTCCAGACAGCGGTGCGAGCTCTCCCAGGAGGGGCACCAGGATGAGGACACCCCGTCTGGGTCCCAGGCTCAGCAGCTCTGCGGCCTGTGATGACCAGCCTCGCGTCCCTGAAACCCGCGTTTGTCCTCTGTGAAGCAGCCTGAGCTCTTGTATTTGAGTTTCCCAAACAGCCCTTGGATGAGGCGACATGTTTCACCACTGAAACCAAGATCTTCTGACCAGAGGAAGGAGCACAGAGGACACGAGGGCCGTCCGGGCGCGTCCAGGCATGCGGTCGTCCTGTTTAGCTTCTTAGCTTTCTATTTACTTAGTTAGTTAATTACTTAATCCTCACCCAAGGATTTTTTTCCCACTGATTTTCAGAGAAAGAGGGAGGAAGGGAGAGAGAGAGAGAGAGAAACATCGATCCGAGAGACACGTTGACTGGTTGCCTCCCACAGGACCCCGACCAGGGCTGGGGATCGAGCCTGCAACCCAGGCACATGCCCTTGACCGGAGTCGAACCCAAGACCCTCCGGTCTGTGGGCTGACGCTCTAACCACTGAACCACGCTGGCCAGTGCCCATTTAGCTTTTTGAAATGCTGTCAGTACTTTTCGAAAAGTAGGGCTCTGCAGGGAATTGGTTTGGAAACCCTGCCTCCCATCAGCTCCTTTAAGAGTCTGCCCTGGCCGGTTTGGCTCAGCGGTTAGAGCGTCGGCCTGCGGTCCAGAGAGACCCGGGTTCGGTTCCCGCTAAGGGCACGTATCTCGGTTGCAGTTTGTCCCCGGCCCTGGTCGGTCGTGTGGGAGGCAGCCACTCGATGTGTCCCTTTCACGTCGATGTTTCTCTCTCTCTCTCTATTCCTCTCTCTCCCTCCCACTCTACCTGAACAAAAAAATGGAAAAATGTCCTCGGGTGAGGATAAAAAAAAAAGAGTCTGTAACAGGGTGGCATTTGAAACAAAACAAAAACAAACGCTTGTTCAAAGTGCTTGCTCAGCATTTCCCACACTTACCGTAGACCCCTTTTCCTCTAGCACAGACTTTACATCCCTTGAAACACATTTGGGGAATGCTGGCCGGTACCTTGTGTTACATAAGCAACAGCCCGTCAGTTAAAGGAACTCTGGCTTCATTCAGAAACCTTGCTTCTGGGCTCACCTGTTCCAGACATCGTGCTGTGGACAGGAGGGATGGCGAGGGGGCCCAGAGACCCGGGGGGAGACACCTGCAAGGCAACAGACGCTTGTAAGTGCCCATGTCCGCCCCTTTCCTACCATGGATGCTCCTCCCAGGGTGCTGGGTCCCAACCCTGCAGAGACCTGGTCTTTGCTTCCTTGGTGATTTCCTGGTCCAAACCTACATTCTGTCCCCTTTCATCGGAAGGCCTCTGGACCACACATCACATCGCACTGCAGCTCCACCCTGCTCCCTGCGGCTGACGCCAGGCCCTGCGCACCCTGCTGTGTCCCTGGCAGGGAGGCTCCTTCAGCAGGGCCGAGTCAGAGCTGCCTCCAGGGCTCTGACCGTGAAGGGAGCCTGCCTGAGACCCTGCTATGGCAAACACGATTCTTCAGTCCCCACTTCTTCTTGGTGAAAGACTCCTGCTCCCGCTCAGGGCTGCAGAGCACCAGCCCTCACAGCACCGTCCTAGGCTCCAGACGCACGACGCTCCGGAGACAACTGGAGGAGCTGAACTTCAGTCTCTGGAGCTGTTAATGTTGCCCTGGAGATCGCACAGCACCTCAGCTTTGGGGCTGGAAGGGACCTCGGATGACCTGGTTTCATTTCCCACACGGTTTGGGAATCTCCCTCTCAGGGTTACTATGCTACGGCCGGAAACAGGATGAACTGGAGAGAATACACCTTGGAACCCACAGATCTGAGATGAGACCACGAACAACCCATGTGACTAGCCCCATGGAGCGTTTGTTTCCTCGTCTGTGAAATTGTAGTAATATTTTCCTTATTGTTCCTTCTAACATTTGATGAGACGATGTTCGTCAAGGTGCCAACTGAACACCTGCAAAGACTACTTCGCTGTTCGTTCCCTTCCTGTGCACCATGGTGTCTAGAAGCTGTTCACCTTTTCACTGAACTGAAGTCTTCAGGGTTTCTCTCCCTTCGTTCTTCTCGTGCCGACAGGGGAGCACTGATGAATGTGAAGAGACATTGAAAGAGAGTTCCGCTTGGAGCTGTGACTTGATATTATTTTGCTCCCTTGTTTGTGACACCCCCTCCCAGCTGGAGGAAGCACCAGCTCACCTCCTGCTGAACCCGCAAGGGCTCTGCTGCTCACGTCCTATTTATTTAATGTCTCCCCTCCCAGCTGGGCTGTGGACTTCCCGAGGGCAGGACGATGCTGGTCACTGTGACACCCTCGGCGCCTCCTGCACTGCCTGGACCTTGGCAGGTCTCAGCGGCATGTGCTGCCTGAGTGACGAGGACAGTGAGGCCTCGCACCGACTTCATTGCAATTTCTTGCCTTTTCTGCTTCTCCTTTACTTTCTTCCCTTCATTCCCTTCCTTTGCTGGTCCCTCAAGTACTGGCGTTCTACAGGGTTGAGACTGGGATGTTCCCTTTTGTTTTCTGGGTACAGACTCCACTGGTGACCTCCCCTTCACCCGGGATTCAACCACCACGTGTATGCTTATGACTCCCTGATCCGTATCTCTATCCTCACCTTCTCTCCTGACCTCCAGAACCACAATTCCGAGGGCCCACGGACACTACCTCCTGGTGTCCCGCAGGCCCCGCTGAGCGTCATCGTAATGGAAAGAACTGAAATGATCGCTTTCTCTTAACTAGCTCTTCCTGTGTCTGTGTGCTCCAGCGACGGCATCGCCGGCTACCGGTCAGCCAGGCTGAGTGCTGGGAACCATCCCCGAGTGTCTCTTCCCGTCACTGCCCTTCAGGTCCTCACCCAGTTCCCAGTGTATTAGCAACACTCAATAGCTCTACCTCCTAATAATCTCCTGAATCTCCCTGTCTTCCTCACTCTTACCACTTGGGGTTGCTTCCGCCCTCGTTTCTCTACTAGAGACAACCCAGCCTCTCAGACCACCTTCATGCCGAAGTTACAACGGTCATTCTAAAAGGAAAATAGGATCATGCCAGTCTTCAGTGACTTCTCCAAGCCCCCGGGTTTCCGGCACCGCCTCCTCGTGCCCTTCTGCCTTTGAGACGTCGCCCCAATATGAACGATCTTGTCGGGGAAGTCTTCCCTAATCTCCTTCCAAGGCTGTGTCAGCTCTGACTACCAAGCTCTAGAGAAAACACCATGTTGTTTATCATTTGTTCACTTGTCTGTTTCCCCGGAGGGGCAAAGGGGTCCTCTGGGGGAGGGGACAGATATTATTTATTTGTGTACATATTGGTGTTTCCGCACACACACCAATATCTAGTAGATCGTCAATAAATGTTTGGTGTTGAAACAGCTATGTCCCGCCCTGGACAAGGCTGAATTTGATGCATCCTGGAGGGCTAAGGACTCGAGGGCATCATCGTTGTCCCCAGCTCCCTTAACCTTCAGCCATCACCATCCCAAGGACAGAGAAGAACCTGCCCCCCTACCCTGTAGGCACCATCTCTCTCCCGGATAAAGATGTCAACTCTCCACACGTCCAGGTCTGCCTGAACTTCAAGTCATCCCTGACCTCTCCTCTGACCACCAGAGTTACAGACACAACTGCCGGCTGACGCTCCTCTTGGCCGTCCAGGAGTCATGTCCAGCTTACCAGGGCCAACTCAAACCCTTCGTTCCCCCAACCTGCTCCTTCCGAGTCTTCGTCATCTCAGAAAAGTGGCAGCATCTCCCAACCAGCTGCCCAGGCCAAACCCTCGAAGTCATCGACACCCTGCTTCTCCTCGCGTGGCTACCGCTGCAGCCCCGGCCTCCGCCCTCTTCGCAAGATCGCGGGGACCCTCCTCGCGGTCTCCTGCCTCCCCGGTCATTCTCTGCACGGCGCCCAGGCCACTCGCTCAGGCTTCTGTGCCTGGAGCTCCCAGGGGCGTATTTGGTTCCAACTAGAAGGCAGGGTCCTTTCAGTGGCCTCCTCTGGGACCTGGGTGTTCTGCTGCCTGTGACTTCTCCCACTCCGCCCCCTGCTCTGGCCCCCTCCTCGCTCTGCTCGGGCTACACCGCACTCTTGCTGTTCCTGGAGCGTGCCGGGGTCCCTCTGCCTGGAGCACTCCATCCCTGAGAAAGTTCCCCGTCCGCATGTTGATTCTGCTCAAATGTCACATTACCAGAGACGTTCTTTCTGACCTCTCTATCCCAAAACCTCCCTCACTTTCCATCTCCTTACCTTTGTCATTCTTCTTTATATTAGATATTGAATATACAGCATCTATTTGCTGTTCTATTTACTTCATGCACGCATGAACCCTCACCCCCCCAAAATAAGGCTTTTTGCCCACCGGGCATCGTCTCCCCCAATGCTCGTGTCCTGGCCGCTCACCAGACGGGACGAATAGATGGGCGATTTGATGGGCGTGGCCACAGGACAGTTGATTCGCTTTTCCTTCTGGCGTCGGTTGCAGAACCAAACCCTCACCACCTCCTTCTCCATGGACAGCTGCTCTGCGATCATGGAGATCTCCTCGGAGCTGGGTTTGGGGTTCTGCAGAGACCAAAGGCATAGAGGATGGTCAGAAGAAAGGAACAGAATCAAGAAAGGGGTGGGGAGGGGCAGAGCCAAGGAAGAAGGATGGAAAATAGATGGACCAAACGCGTCAGAATCAGCCCTAGGGTGGAATACTGGCTTATCACTTACTGTGTGTCCTTAAAATTTTCTCTTAACCTCTCTGAGCCTCAGGCGTATCCATGACATGAGAACAACAATGCCCACCATAAAGGACAGTTGTAAGGCTTAACTGAGAAAATGGGTGTACAACGCTGAACACAGGGTCTGACACCGGCTTTCTTGTCTGACTCCTTCCTTCAGGAGAAGTTCTGAAAGGAAGAGTCCGGTGGTGCGTCTCGAGGGGACAAGAACCCCCAGAACCCACATTCTCCTGTGTTCTGTCCTCGTCATCTTCCTGTCCTGCCTCAGAGTAGGAAGTGATGAAGCTCAGAATGTGGAGCCATCAGGACGGTAGAGACACAGATCACCCTCTGGTTCTGACCCTCCACACCCACCAGCCTGAGATCCCAGCCTCCTATCCTCCCTCCTGCAGCTCCTGTGGTCTTGTTGTTCTGAGAAACCCGGGCAGAAGGGACAGTCAGCTCCTCTCATCCTGCCAGCAGCGTCCAGCCATCAGACCCTTGAGCCAGAAGCCCTGCAGAATCTGCTGGGGCCTGGGGCTGCCCGGCTGGCGCAGGCCACAGGCCCTGCCTTCAGGGACCGGTGCGGCGGAGACGCGGGCTCTGGAGGTGGGTACCTGAGGGACCCTGATCAGGAGCTCCTCTCTCCTCTCCCCACCTCCCAGAGGGGCTCAGACTTGATATGATTAGCTCCACGCACACGTTCAAGAATATGCTTTGGCTACAAGTTAACAAATGTAAGTATATAATATGGCACAGATATTTAAATGTATGTGGAAAAAAGTAGAAGGAAGTACATTTAGATGGCATTTGAGGACGATTTTTTCCCTTTCTACATCCCTGTCTTTTCCTGGTGGGTTACAATAAGCATTTATTACATTTATGATTTGAAACATGCAGAACAATGCGTAGGAAGTGAAGAATGTATAGATAACGCTTGGTCATGCTCCCTTTACTTCAACGGGTGTGGAGCTGCAGCCTCTCCAGGGACCTGGACCCAGGCCTCTGGATCTCCCGTGAGGGGGTGGTGCCAGGGGCCATGCGCGCTGCTCAGCCCCCGTGCGGCGGCCATGCCCCTCCCGGACCACTCACATCCTGGAATCTCTTCTCCAGGGTCAGGCGAATGTTGGTCTCAATGCTGGTGCGCTTCTTCCTCTTCCGGCCGAACACCTCACTGAGGGTGGGGTAGGAGCTGGGGGTGCTCACCGAGGGGTCGGAGGGGGAGGATTCTGTAGGGAGGCAAAGGGTGGAGGAAGCTCACGGAGGGCAGTGGACAGCCAGGCCTGTCCCAATGGACTTGAGGTCCAGCTACTCTTCTGAGTGGGCTCTGCAGAGGCGGCCCAGGACTCGGCCCTGCCCCGCCAGGGAAACTGGGTGGACCGCACATGCTGCTTCCCCCCCTGGCTCCGGACACGGCCAGCTCCTGGACCCACAGCAGCGCCTCCTGCGGCCCGGGCATCGTCAGGGGCACCCAGATGGCCTCGTGGGTGTAGGCGAGAGTGGGCAGCAGGACGCTACCAGGGCACTCCCGAGTCCGACTCCTGCACAGTGAACTGGGGCTCCTACCGCCTGGCACTGGGGGTAGCATGCAGGTGTGGGAGCCCTTTCTGTCCAGTACGAGTGTGGGAGGGGAGGCTCTTAGGTTACTAGGCAGCAGCACCCTCAGGAAGGGTTCAGGTGTCAGATGGAGTCACACTAGAATGACCTATAAGGTCCTTTCCCAAAGATCCTAAGACCCTTGGATCATCTTTCACGTCAATGGTTCGGTAGACGTGGCAGGGTAGTCTGGGGGGGGGGCTTCCTTGCCCCTCATTTCCATGTGGAGGGCAACATCCCCGGCTGCCCACCCACCATGCCCACAGAAACCACAAATCCACACGTATCTGCTGAGCAGACCCAGCCCCGGTACTGGCTCTGGTTCCTTCTCAGCGGGACCCGTGGTTCCCAGTGAGGGTGACTTTGTATCACCATGAGTCCCCCAGGGGACATTTGGCAATATCTGGGGACATTTTGGGGTGGTTGCTCCTGGAATCTAGAGGGTGGAGACCAAGGATGTTGCTGCGTGGGAGCCCCCTCGATACGGTCTGGTCCAAGTATCGATAGTGCTGCGGCTGAGAAACTGTCCCTGATAACACACTCCTGTCCGTGTCCCAAACCTGTGTCCTTTGCTTTGCACCCTGACCCTCTGGCTGCCTCCCTGGCCCACACCTGGCTGAACTGCCCTGAAACTCCACTCCCGCTGTGACGCTCTCAACCAGCCTCGCTGACCGTCACCTCTGCCTCTGAAAACCTGTGTGAGATTAGACCTTCCATTGCGTTACTGCTTCGTCCTCCCAGCGAGACCCCAGAGCACCCCTTCCTGTCCCCCTGGCCTAAACCTAGTCCAGACGGCATCTGGGTGAGTGTGTCTGCGCCACAGACCCAGACTTTGACTCTGGCCAGCTGCCCCAAGGTCCCGGTTACGGAGGGGAACAGGCACATGTCTCCATGGCCACAGAACTCAAGCCATGTCCTCCAAAGAGCTTCCTGAGTAGTAAGCTGACATTTTCATCTCCACGTGCCTGTTTTATTTCTCAGCAGGGTCCAGACTGGGGAGGAGAAGAGGGGGCATCCTATAGGGACTGTCTAAGGCCCCGGCAGAGTTGGGAGCCCCTGCCCTGCGGGGTTTCCAGGCCTGGCCCCCTGCGCCCCAGGCCCACCTGCGTCGCTCAGCCACTTCTCCAGCAGAGGTTTGAGCTTGCACATGTTCTTGAAGCTCAGGTTGAGGGCCTCGAACCGCGAGATGGTGGTCTGGCTGAAGTCGTTGCCGTACAGCTTCCCCATCGCCAGCCCCACGTCCCCCTGCGGGTGGGGGTGCAAAGGGGGTGGCTTGAGAGACAGTCTGCTCCTCTTGGTCTCCATCCCTCGCCATCTCAGCCAGTCATGCACCCAGTGGGCCTGTCAGCGCCCACCAATCGCCTCGGCTCCTTTCTAGGGTGTCCCTCCAAGGCGGAGGGTTGTCTTATTTCTCTGCGTGGACGCGGAGTGGGCCACGCCCCCGTGCGGACCCCCCGTCTGGCTCTCGAGTCTCCCTTCCTCCAGCTGCGCCCTCACTTTCCCACCAACGGAAGCTGCGTGTTCTCAGGGAACCAGGGGCGTGAGGGGTTCGCTCCAAACACGCGGAGCCTCCGCCGGCTCTTCAAACCTGCGCTCGGGAAGCCCCGTGCCCACGCACCCCCCTTCCTCCACCTCCCCCGCGAAACAAACCTGAGTGAAGCCCAGCTTGATGCGCCTCTGCTTGAAGGTCTTGGCGAACTTCTCCAGCTCCTCCAGGTCGCTGGGCTCGTCGGCCCCTCCCGTGCCGGGCTGGTACTTGGGCACCGGGAGGTGCTGGGACACCTCCAGGTGGGGCTCCACGGAGGACCCGGGCAGCCCCGCACGCCCCACTGCCTAGGAGGGAGCACAAGCCAAGCCGAGGCGGTCAACATCCAAAGGGCCTTTTCTGCGGTTGTTACTAAAAGGCTTAGAGGATGCCATAGCCCTGGCTACACCGGGTTCCTGTTTTTTCAGCAGCGCGGTGGAAACGGGGGTTTCTATAAGGGGTAGCACCCCGCGTAGCCCGGAGGAGCCTGCGGGGTTTCGGCCCCGGCGCACTGACCGAGCAGCTACCTTCTCCCTTTCGCGCTCAGCCACAAGCAGCGGGCTGTTCACAGAGCCTCCGGGAGGAGATCTCAGGACAAGCAAAAGGGTGCCTGCTTTGTCTGTTTTCCCCCCACAAAGTTACAGAGGTGACCGCCAGACATTGGCTGAAGACAGCAGAGAGCACCTGAGACTCATCCCTTGGGTATAATGCTTGAAATTCCCAACTCTTGCGATGGCCGTTTCACATTCTAAACCATCATGTTCTTTCATGAAAGTGTTGCTTCTTGCTTTCTCTTTTTTCTTTTCTAAATCAAAGGCATTCCAGTGTTCTCTAAATGCACCGTGACCTCGTGTGTGGTCGTCAGGAGAAATAATGTTTTCAGTTTATTTTCACGGGAAAATAGGCCCTTCACCCTAGAATCCATGTGGTAGCCATTTGGGGTCCGGAGTGAACTGAACTCTGAAGACATCCCTCCTCCCACAAGGAAGGGATGAAACCCCGGCCTAGGGAGCTGGGCAGGTGCCTGGGGCAGGGGCCGTGGCCCGTGTCCACCCTCTGCCCCCAGTTTGCTCTTCTCTGGGACTGGGGTCACCTTTAGGCCTTTGCTCGTCCAAGATATTCAGGTTTACCAGCAAGAGCGGCATGTTATGGAGAGAAAGGTGGAAGGACCTGAGCGAAGTCAAGGGCTCTGCTCCCTAGTGAAGCGTCTTTCCCCACAGAAAGACGGAAACTCTTGCAGGTGTGATCCTGTTTTGCAGGGAGAGGGTGCGGAGACCGGACCCTCAGGACAAAGCCTCCATCTTCTTCAAACTTCCTTTTAACACATTCGTTTGTCTCTCGACAAGCACAAAGTTTTTTCTAGACCTTTGCTCTCCTCCCTTCACATCCAATCAGATGCCAAATTGCTCCCCCCCCCCCCATTCTTATGGCCATAACCCTAACCCCGGCCACTGTCCAGGATGAGCTTAGCGGCGCCCTCTCCTGGCTCTCGTAAGAAGTGGGAGTCTGCTGAGGGGAGCCATCAAGAGGAAGTCCAAGCCCTGGCCAGTTTGGCTCAGCGGTTGGAGCATCGGCCTGCGGTCCAGAGAGACCCGGGTTCGGTTCCCGCTGTGGGCATGTACTTTGGTTGCAGCCACTCGATGTGTCCCTTTCACGTCGATGTTTCTCTCTCTCTGTGTCTTCCTCTCTCTCCCTCCCACTCTACCTGAACAAAAAATGGAAAAATGTCCTCGGGTGAGGATAAAAAAAAAAAAAAGAGGAAGTCCAAGAGCTCGTGACTCCAGTGCCATGTCTGCAGCCACTAGATGGCGCTGTCCTTCCAGAGGCCCTGGGTGGACGAGCCTGGAGGCCAGTGCCTGGTGCCCCCTGGAGCACCTCAGCGCAGAGGGGACCCGAGGCTCTCTGCACCCTCTGCACATCCGTTTCCGCAGAACCGTCTCTCACACCCCACCAGCTCTGCGGCTCATTCACTGCACAGGTGGTGGTGGTGGGGGGGCAACAAAAACACAGCCCTGCAGCTCTGGCCAAACCATACGCGCTGCGGCCAGCCCGAGGAAGAGGCGCTTTCCCCCTAACTGGCCGAGGGGAGCTGTGTAGAGTCGGCGCCCCCAACGCTTCTCTGCAGACCTCCTTCTCCTGCCCTGCACACGCCCCCTGCAGGATGCCACCTGGAATAGGTCTTAAGTGGGGCTCAGGGGTGAGACAGTGGCTTGGTGGTGTTGGGACGCCAGGCCTGTGGGACTCTGGTCTCTCGCTTGTGGCCTGTGAGCACCCAGGCTGGGCTGGCATCACCTCGACATCCCTGGGGAGTTAGCTGACCTCCGGTTTGGAGAGGGCAGAGCGGAACGCCTGCCTGTGGAGCAGACCTCTCGCTCTCATCCTGACACCTGGTGACAGTGAGTCAGTCATCTCCACTGACTGGCTTGAATCGGCCGTGTAGCAACAGGGCTCATCCCCGCCATCCCCTCTGCTCAGAGGGTGGCAGCGCCGTTGAGGGGTTGGGGGAAACCAGGGAGCCCAACCCCACCGAGAGGTGAGGCATTCCCAGAGACGACAGGGAAAGGCGGTGTTTACCTGGGACGCCAGGCCAGGCCCCGTCTGTGGGAGGAGGAGAGAACTCTGTTGCTGTGGAAAAGGGAGAAGATTTGGCTGCAGACCTGGGTGAGAGGGGAGGACAAAGGAACAAAGGAATATGATCCAGGCCATTTGAGAAACATGCATCTTGGGGGCCATGACTGCTCTCCTTGCCCCTGCTGACTAGTCATGTCCCTCAGCCCACCTCAGCCCTGCGGAGAGGCACCCACGGGTGCTGCCAGGCATTGCCGCACGCAGGTAGAGGCAAATTAGACACAGGGATAAACAGGTGTAAACAGCAGTCCCCAAACCAGTCCTCCTGCTTGCGGCGCACCTGGGTGGTGCAGGGTTAGGAGAGCTGAGACAGTCTGCGCTGAGATCTGATAACCAGGCTGGAGAAATCCAAGGGGAAGGGGCTTTGTGACTAGTGAGAATTCAGGCTGAAGCTGAGACTTCCCTTCTGCCTGCAGAAGTTGCTGGGAGGCCCAGGGCAAGTGGGCGGGGCCCCCCAGCTCCAGAGGGCAGTGGGCCCTTGGTCAGAGGCTCTGGGCGGAACACGTTACACCCAGGAGGACAGCCAGAGAGAAGGGAGACCAGAGCCCCTGGGACCTGCCTGGTTGTATGGACGATGCTTGTTCATTGCACTGCCCTTCCTGGGCCCGGGAAGGAACCTGCCTGGTTGGTGGTCATGACAATGGGACGGGTCACCCCAATCCCTCAGCACACAGGGCAACCCTGGGCTCTGTCGTCCCTAAGCTGTTTTAGGTTGCTGAGGTAAGCATCATCTGATGTCGACCTTTATGCTCCTCAGTCCACAGAAAGTCAGGACTTCATTTTTTATTATTAAAACAAGTGGCCAAAGCCCTCGACTGGAAGTCCAGAGGCCTGGTACTAAGTGTAATCTCACACTCAGGTGGTACCCCGAAGGGCACAAACCCTTCACACGAGCGTCACGTCAAATACCTCTCAGCAACCTCGTGGAGGAGGAAATAATTTCTCAGCGAGGATAAGGTAAGTTCCCCAAGGACACACAGTAATTTTGACTGATGAGTTTTTGACTCCAGAGCCTGTTTGCTTGTTGCCCTGGCCGTGTGTGGCCTTGCTGGGTAGGCCCGGGCGGTTTCACACCACCCTCTCCAAAGAGAAGCTGAATGAACAGCCCTCTCCCCTCCCTGTTCCAGGAGCGCAGTATAGATGATTTGGCCAAAACAAATGCTTAAATGGTCACATATGTTCCCGTTCACTGTTACGGTGTTGCTCACGGATGCCGTGGACACTAAGCAGAGGGGCCGGAATCTGGGAAGGCGCTAAGGACGCAAAGTGTGGTTCCCTTTCGTTTGGATTCCAGAGCTTCTGGTCCCTCCATCCCTGCGGACGTTGTTGGTGAGACAGGAGAGGGAGCTAGCGCAGTGGACGGCCAGGGGCATTTTATTTTTAGAGAGAGAGGAAGGGAGAGGGAGAGAGAGATGGATACATAGATGAGAGAACATCGATTGGCCGCCTCCTGCTCGCCCCCCACAGGGGGTTTGGCCCACAACCTGGGTATGTGCCCTGACCGGGAATCAAACCGGCGGCCTCTTGCTGCAGGGTCGACGCTCAACCACTGAGCCACACCGGCTGGGCCAAGAGCATGGGTTTTAGACAGACAGTCCTGGAGCTCTCTAGCAGGTCACCAGAGCTGTGCCACCTTCACCTGCTGCACAGGTGACTTATAGACCAGGGAAGCCGCTCACAGAGCTCCTGGCACCGTAGGCTCGAGGAATGGTGCCTACCGTACAAGTGTCGGGTCCCTTCGCCCTTGGCCGGGTTCTCTGGAAGCGGACTTCCGAGCCAAAGAAAACCCGAAAGCCAGTGGGAGGCACTGCCGCTCTGCCCAGTCCAGTCCCGGCCAGGCTTGCGAAGGGACCCCGGGGACCTGGACCCGTCTGCTCTGCATTCCCAGGGAGCCGCTCCTTCCTCTGCCCGCCCCGGGCCGCCCCGGCCTGCACCCTCCACCTCAACGTCCATGGCATTGACCAAGGTGGGGAAGGGAAGCAGAGAAGGAGGCTCAGCCTGGAGGGGCCACGACAGGGTCCCTTCCCCAGGCCTGATGTGGACAAGCCGGTCTCACTATCAGAGGGCGAAGCCACACCCCGGGCCCCGAATGCGGGCTCCCCCCCCAGGAAGCAGCGCAGCAGCACCTTGCTGTACTTGGTCTCGTGGAAAACCCCTTACCTTGCTGCCCAGGCTGGGTCTGCGACAGCAGGAACTGGGACACAGACTGCAGGTGGCCAGGAACCAGCACGAGCTGCTGCAGGGGGTGCAGGGAAGTCATATCCTGTGGGAGACACGCAGCACAGACTTGTACGCTGGGGGCGCCAGCTCCCTGTGCCGCTGCCCGTCTGCCCCAGGGTCTGCAGCCTCTGAGCGTGCGAGGGTGTGCCCTTGCCCTGCCCCGGTGCAGCCCAGCGTCTGGTCCACAGTAGCTGCCCGTCAACACTGTCCCATCGCCCGGCCAGGTTGCACATGCCCCCCGGGCACAGACTGAGGGCGCCCATCTCTCCGAAGTCTACCCTAGAAATGACAGGCAATCCCAATGATCCGATTTTTTAAAAAAATTCATGGGACCCTGTGGTGGCCCCTTCAGGCTGAGTCTCCTTCTCTGCTCCCCCTTTCCGCATTTTATTGTGCTAAAAGCCACGTTTTGGCCATTTTCTGGGCCCGAATCTTTCCTGGAGGAATGCGGCAAGTTATTCATTCTTAATAGGACCAATTTGATTAGATAGAAAGTCCATGTTCCCTGGGTTCCTCCCACCAGCTCAGAAAATGGAAATACCAGTCCTCATACTTGGGGGTCTGGGATCCTCTGAGCCTCCGACAGCCAGGGGGCGGCGCCCTCACGGACTGAGAGGCCTGGGTGAGCTCTTGCTGAATAAGAGGGGAAGAGGGGCTCACATACTAGCTCAGATGTGATCAGAAAAGGGGCGCCTGCCTCCTCCCGGGCGCTGCAGACCCAGAAGGAGCTCAGCTGTGAGTGCCCTCAGACACTGCCGGCCACTCTTGGGGAGCCCTGTCTTCCCGGCGCCAGCAATCCGTGCTGGTTCCCCTCCGTGTAAGACCTGTGGGCTGCTCTGGTGAGAGCCCGGCCCGCAGGCCAGAGTCCCGGGTTCGATTCCGGTCGCTGGCACGGACCTCGGTTGTGGTTTGGTCCCGGCCCTGGTCAGGGTCCTGGGGGAGGCAGCCAGTCAATGTGTCTCTCACATCGACGTTTCTCTCCCTCCCTCCCTCCCTCCCTCCCTCCCTCCCTCCCTCCCTCCCTCCCTCCCACTGTATCTGAAGATAAATGGAAAAATATCCTCGGATGAGGATTGAAAGGAACCGTGTGGGGAGAGCGGGCGTCAGGGACATGGACACTCGCTGCGCAGGAGCTGCTGTCCCCGGGGTCTCCCGAGTGGGGCTGGCAGACGGCCCCGCAGCCGCGAGGTCTGCTGTTCGGACCAAAGTGTCTCCTTTTTCTCCCAGAGAGGCAGAGACCTCACTTCTCACAGACTCGCGGGGCTCGCTTGAACAGGACGGTGCGGCGACCTCACTCCCGCCCCAGCCAGGGGCTCGACACAGATTCCCGCCCCTGAGGATGTGGGGGCTCCTCCAGGAGCGGGCGCGTACCCCAGACATTTGGCTTCCAGACATCACGGCGGGTCCCTGGCTCAGGTGGCAGGGCCTGTGGGAGAGGGTCTGCTGCAGGGAGTCGCTGAGGTCCTCCGTTTTGATCTGCAAGTGGAGGCGGGAGGGGAGGGTCAGTCTGAGCCTCCTCCGGCCCACGCAGGGGACACAGAGAAGCCCGAGAGGAACGCGTGACAAACCCGGCCGTGGAGAGCCTCCTGGCCACATGCTGACTGACCTACGGCGTGTGCCCTCAGGTCAGGGCTGCTGGTGGGGGCAGAGGGGGCCCTCGGGGTGCCAGGCTAGGCGGGCACACAGCCCACACTTCTCCGCATCGAAATGTAGGGATGTGAACGTTTTGTTTGGAATCTGAGATGACGTTCTTTTTTTTTTATGTTAGAATTTGTTTTGTGAAGTGATGGTGATCCTAAATGATATTTAAAACCTTCCCACCTCACAGTGCAACATTGGCAACCCTTTCTCCATCTCCCTCACGATTCTGGTTTTCATTTTCTGGGTCCACAGAATCCCAGTCTGGGGACCACTGATCTGAAAGACCGGCTCCCCCATCCTCCCTGTCCTCTGCGGCTGGCTCTCCTGGTGACCGTCCGGCCTGTCTCCCTGGAGGCGGGGACTCGTCTCCCTCAGGCACTGTGGCAGGGGCAGCCTGAGGGGGTCTGTGGCGTTTCCGAACTTTCGCAGCCTCTACCACTCTTCAGTGACAGCACCCCCCCCTGAGGACCGGGTCCGAGAACAGGGCACCTGAGCCCACCTCTCTCCACCCGAGACTCACCACCTCCTGCAGTGTTCAGGAGGCCCGTGGGGGGCAGGCCGCTGAGTGACCTTGAAGGTGACCCCACTATATGGCACAGAGAATGGGGTCCGAACCCTAAGAAGGGCGCTGGGGGACCCTCTGATGGACACTCCTGGCCACGGAGACCCTGGCTTCCACCATTCTCTGGGTTACACGGGGACCCTCACTGCTGCCCTGGACTCTCTGTGTCCTGACTACATCAGTTCAACCCGAGTTGGAGGTTCAGACTGACAGCCACACGTAGACAAACGGTGCTTTGGCTCAGCAGGGACCCCCACCCCCGCCCCCGGCTGGAGCGTTGAGGAGGTTCCACGGAGGGACACTGAAGGGGAGTGTGGTCCCCTGCAGACGGGAGGACCCAGTCACGTGAATTGATAAAACATAATCAGAACCCCTCTCCACAATCTCCGGGGGTACAGGGAGGACGGAGTGAAACCTCTCCAGTCCTCACTCCGACTCCAACGTACTAGGTGACCTTGGTCAGTGGCTCAGCCCCGTGGGATTCGGTTCCCCATCTGCCACGTGGTCTCCCCTTTTCAGTCCTAAAGAGACTCGCAAACTGCAGCCCCACAGTGAGGCGCCCGGGCTGGGCCCGACGGCTGCAGTTCTGGACGTAGTCTGAGCGGCAGCAACACGTCCGGCCGCAGAGACAGTGGCGGGGGGACGCTCCTGGCAACAGCTGCCACGGAGCCTTGTGCTCTCCTCCCCCTGAGCAGACCATGTGGGAGCCTCGGAGACAGAGGAGAAGGAAGAGGGACAGGAAGTTGCATGATGGGCGAGGCTCTCTGGGAGCCCAAAGCTTGGTGATGCAGAGTGACCCCCACAGCCCAGCCCCTGCCCCCAGCACCCCTCAGCTCTGCCCACTCACATGTGGCATCACAGCCTAAGCTCTGGTCCCTACTCCTTCCCCCACGACCGGAGCTCTCCCAGTCTGGATCATAGGGAAACATTTTAAAAAGCTAGAAATAAATGATAAACTACTTTAAAATCCACCACCGCCACCCTTAAGGTTTGTTCCGAGAGGAGACTGTACTTGAGCAAAGTCCTGGTGGCCAGCCCCCCGCCCCCTCCCCGTCCATCCCCACCCAGAGGGGCCGCAGGTGAGGCGGTGGGGGAGGGACCAGGGCGAGCAGGGAATGCTGGGCCGAAACCTGCCGTGCAACCCCCGCGGGCGGCCTGGCCACCCTCCAGCTCGGAGCCGAGTGGCGGGGTTCCTTCTCAGACTCATCGCGCTCCCGGAGAGATAAGGAGGTGCAGCTATGACAAAGCTCGAAAACACGCGCTTTGCCTCCAACCTGAGCGCTATCTGTTAGAACCGGCGCCAGGTCTTCCTACCACACTGATCTCGGGAACCAGAGCCAGCGCAGGAGAAAAGCCACCCTTTCATCTGCTCCCTGGAGCTGCTGTCCTTCGAGCTATTTCGGGGACGCTGCCCCCTCCCAGTCCCAAAAAATGAGGTGCCCGATCCCAGAAAGTCTCTTTGGGGTCAGTCTGTGATGCGCTGACCCCCACGTGTGTCATTCTTCGGAGTTTTTTTCTCTGCCAACCTCGGACGCTTTCATTTTTCGAAATTCACTGCCCCAGTGGTGGGAGCTGCTGGCAGCGGTGACAGAGGAGACAATGAGGGGGCTTCTTCTAGGACACGTTCTGAAATCTCCGCTCCGGGCGGTGGGGCTCAGGAGGAGCCGAGCGGGAACAGAGGGGGGCGGACACAGCACCTCTCTCTGCCTCTGTCATGTGTCTCCTCAGTTCTCTGAGGTTCCAGGGGCTCAGGAACTAAGAAAATCAGAAATGAAGTCACCCCCACCCCATCAAAAAATCCCTGCCACAGCTGTCGAATGGAAAAGCTTGGAGCCTTTCCAGGCAACTGGGTGTTGGCTGAGGCTCTGGGAGATGAGATAGACTCCTGTTGGATCCCATTGCCTCTCGTGTGAGAACCAGAGGCAAATTGGATGAGAACCCAGTTACCCCCATACTTGTGAAAGCCCAACCAAACCCACAACCTGCCTAGAACTGGGAAGATCCTCTCCAGGGTCCCTTGGGCGGCCCTTCTCACGCAAGGGGAGCATTTCTCCAGACCCAGCCGGGGATGCGCGAACCCCTGGGAACGTGGGCACCCAGGGAGCTCAGCCCCGATCATCCCGCTTGTCTATTAGATGAGGTTCGCTAGCGGGGATCCTCTCCGCCCACCCCACTGTGCGAAAGGAGTTTGGGCAGTGACCAGGGAGGGAAAAGGTGTCATGAGTGATTATCTGCTTTAATCCAAGTGAACTCCCTGACATCACCTACTTTAGAAAGCAGCTCGCTGGAAGGAAGGAGCCCCTTCTGCGGAGCTGGAGTTCTCAGAACTGGACTTCATCTCCCGGCCAGGAGATGTGGGGACGAGGTTTCTGTTCCCAGATCAGGGAGGCCGGGGAGCTTCACAGATCGGTCTGAAGTTACCTAACCAAACACTGGCAGCACTTTGACAAGGGAATGGTCCTCGGACCCTCCCCTGGTCGTTTTCTGCAAAGCAGTACTGCACGTGTCGGAGAGAGACCAGACCACAGGTGTCAGGAGAGATGGTGTCTGGCCCGGACATACACTGAGCCCTCCTTAATAAGTACCTGTTTTGGGGTCACGCAATGGGGTCTGAGGAGACCGGGGCGCTCATCCTTACTACCACCGTGACATTTTCACAGGGCCCTCTCGGGGGAAAACAGACCAACACTAATGAACACATCGTGGTGGTGAACATGATCAAAGCTGCTGTCTCAGTTGCATAACTCATTTGTGGAAAATGTTTCATAAACATTTCACAAGAAGGAGAATTTCAAAGCATGAACATCTCTCAACCTGCCTTCAATTACAGGTAAGATCTTTTTTTTTTTTTTTTTTTCTTTCTCCCCCCTTCTACATTTCTGCCTAGGAGTGAGGACGCGTTTCTGTTTTGTAACTGATTTATAAAGGGTTGGCAAATGCGTGGCTCATGAAAATGTCCTAAAAATATATTCCAAGTTGTGGAGTGGGGAGCCAGGTAACTCGTCCCAGGTGAATAAGGCTGAACGTCTCCCAAGAGCTGTCGAAGGGATTTGTCTTCGGGGGACTCTCCCCTCTCCATGGCCCTTGGCTATTCCCCATGACCAAGATTTCTGCCTCTGGCAGCACCCGGGGAGTCAGCCGCACCCAGGCCCTGGTCTCCAGTTGGACACCCCTGTGCTCATACCACCGGGATCTCCCTGACAGCACTGAGCTTCTGGACGAAGGCCGGACCTCAGACAGGAGACATGGGCCCTCCAACAAGAGACGGCTCCTTCGGGGGGCTGGGGCCACTTGGAAAGGCTAGCTCCCGAAAAGCAATTTTCCCAAGAGGCACCCTCGTTTTTCCTGCTTGAACCCACTCTGGGAACGCAGAACCTTATCAGTCATGTGACTCAGTGCGCTGGCTTCAGTTCTGAGGACAGAGCACTGCTGGTGCGAGCACACGTGTGAAAAACCCCCGCGTTTTAAGCCCATAAAAGTTCCCTTCTGTCTCTGGCTTGTGAACCCAGTGAATTCCAGTTTACAGGTTCCGGGAAAGGGGCTGGACCCTCCCTGAGAAGGCGCGCTCGCGAAGGTCATGGTGCCAGGGCGCCAACCACTGTGGCGGCCGCGCGGCCTCACAGCCCTCCTGCAGTGGACTGAAGGGAATTCTCCTGTGTGACCTTGACGCCTTGCCTCAGTCTCCTGGTAGCCGGCCTGGGGGACAGGGGCACAGAGCTACTCCTGCGAGGGTGGTGTCCGCGTGGAGCCGCGGATTTGCCCACACAGACGCTGTTCTGCCCCCGTAAGCGAAACGGCAGGAAGCAGGGGATGCATCCAACTCTGACATTGTTCCTGAGCCCTCAGCTGTTCTTGGGACGAGACTGATGTGCCCCCGGGTTCTCCCCCTGCCCCTGGGCTGCCCATCACGGGAGGGCTTTGGTGTCCTTTTCAGAGCAGGAGATGATTCAAAAAAAAAAAAAAAGATGCCCAGAAAACAAGCACAGAGCCATGATCAACCAGGAGACCTGACTTTGGAGTCCATCCCTACTTCTAACCAGCTGCAGGATCTGCTATTAAATGACTTGGCTCGTTTCTGTGCCTTGGCTGCTGCCCCGCATCAGGAAGGGCATGGACTAGACAGAATCGACCCGACACACTCACAACGTAGTAAAGAGTGGGAGCCGACTCGCGAGCGCAGGAGTCTGTTTGCTGCATTTACTAGGCCCACTTCACAGATGAAAAGACCGAGGCTTGGAAATGTGCTTAAAGTCACCCTGCGGATAACTAATGA